CGACTGGCCGAGATAAGCGCGCTGGCCAAAATAGTTAAGTGCCCGCGTCCCCCTGCCCGCCCTCCGCCTGCTGCGGGCCCGCTGCTCACCCTCCTCCCCTGGTCGTCGGCTGTTATAGGTGATATAGGTCGGTTGATATAGGTGATGGCTTTCGCATTTATAGGTTAACTTTTTGCATCACAAGTATTTTGATATGGTACAACTTATCCTTTCTTTTAACTACTTTCTATAGTATAATATGCCAGTTTATGTATGCTCTGTATATTTCATATGAATAGTAGTGTGATAAATATGTTATGTGGAAGATGCATATTTTATAATTGGATTTTTGCAAGCATTAAAATGAATAGTATATGTGTTATGTTAGAAAGTTATGGTGCCTTAATTTTCTTAAGTAGTGTGTTAAATGTACTTTTAGGTTATAACACAATGTTGAAATAGAAACTATACGATGTAAGATAGTTTTTTTTAAAAGAGAGGAATGAGGCACTCCCACTGAGATAACAGCCACAGGACACCTAATTTATTGCTCACTTATCAGAAGAAACTAACTTCTTCCTGCCTTGCTCAGCCTCAGGATTAAGAGAAAGAAGTTGACACTGACCAGACAGAATCCTTTGTTTGAATGGGAGTTATACATCATGTATGAGATGTATGGATATGCAACTAGCTGTTGCTTTTAAGGGTTCATCCTCTGTTAATGTGTGTCCTTTTTCAGGCTTATTTTGCCCAGAAAGAGGTACCAGGACTGTCAATAACTCTTTGTTTTTATTGTCTTGTCCTAATCCTAATTGTCCAAATTTTTATTACTCGAATTATATTACTATTTTTATAACAATTTTATTACTATTAAACTTTTAAAATTTTAAAAACAAGTGATTGGCGTTTTTCACTTATTATATCATAGGCTTCAGCAAAATGTTAAAATAGAGACTAAAATACTTCTATGTAACTAACTCAGAGAATGGTGTAAAGCAATTATTCTGTTCCTTGTATCTGCATACTAGCCTTTCCAAGTGATAAGGTAACAGTGACAAAAACAGAGCATAAGCATCCAGGAAGGATTTATCGACTCTATTTGCACTATTTGGGAGTGTGAAACAACAGGATAAAACTACAGGAAGAAATAAAATATGTAGGCCTAATTTATAGAATGTTCTACAGACAAGTCAGAGGTTAAAACTAAACAAGAGAGTTCTTGGAACATCAAAATCTCAAAGGAATGTTTGAATAATGTATAAGCTAATGAATACGCGTGTAACCCCAGCAATGTAACCATATATAGTGGACATCATTTTAAGCTAACTCTCTACTCTTTGGCCATGTGCCAAAAGCACCCCAGTGCTGGATTATTTTGTCATTTTATCCTTTATTAAACTTTAAAAAATTTTAAGGAGTGAACTCTGTTTATCACATCGATGAAGCTTAAGCTGATCTGCATCCAGGTGCTGTAGGACCTGCTGGAGGAGGCCATCAAGGTACGTGTGGAGACCATGTATTTCAACACTGCAATAGCATAATCAGCAACATTAATTAATTTTGTGTTCTTTATGCAAGCCTCAGTGTTAAGAACACAACCGGCCTCTTCTAGTATTAATAATATGCATAGTGTTATTAGTATTATTATTTAGGTAAGAATTGTAAGAATTAGTATTATTATTTAGGTAAGAATTTAGGTAGTACGTTAGCTGGTGTTTACTGTGAAGCAATAATAGACTCTTGGGTGGTGGTAGGATTATGTGTGTGCCAGACGTGCTCCTATACAAGCTATTCGGTACCAGGGTACAGGCAGAAGCACCCTAAAATGTGCATTTAAACCCTTAAAATGCTGAAAAAGGGAGCTCTTCCTTCAAGTGAACCCCTTAAAATGAGGAAATGAGGCAGTTACCTGCACTTAAACTGATACAATGACAAATAAATGGCTTCTGACCTTTAATTTAGTCCCTCAAAATATTGGGAAAAGAAGTGGTTTCCCCACTTTAAATTTCTCATGTGATGGAAAAAGGGAGATTTTTCCACTCAAGTCAAGCCCTGCGCCCACGAGGTGTTTGAGCATCGCCGGTGGGTTTCTCGGGCGCGGCACCGAATATTAACCGTACATGAGCATGTCTCTGCTAACAAAGTTGGTTGAACAGATCACTTCCATGCAGCAATATAATCGATACGCAAATTTTCAAGGCTTACTAAATTTCTCAGTGATCTTCATCAATTACTTGTAGTTCTACAGAGAGAGAATAATGGTATGGAGTGCATGGCAGAAGCAAACATGCACTTATTCTGTGTCACAGTACTAGAACACAACAGGGATAGCATTAAAACGCCGTTTCCACTGTGATTCCACTGAAAGTTTCTTCGTATCTTCTTTGAACTTCAAGCAAACATTGCATTCAAGTATCTGGCTGTCAACATTGCCATTTCAAGAAAACCACTATTAAACCTGTCAATAAGTGAAGTTCCCATTTAAGGCTTTTACAACACAGCTGCTGCAGTTGCCCCACCTTTTGAAAAACTTGTATGTTAAAACATCAAAAGAAGTCAGAAAAAAATAGAACTGCAAAACAACTTTAAAGAAGAAAGTCAAGTGAAGGAATTTAGTATATACTTTGTTCCATATATACAAATAAAGAACTGTGATTCTTAAATACTTAAAGCATGAAAAAAAAGAAGTGAACTGTTATCAAACAAAGACATCTTTGAGAATCCATCTTTTAATGGAAAGTGCTTAAATTATATTCTTAAAACAATGCTGTGTGCAGCACAGTAACAGTATCAAGTATGACCAAGTATCTTGCTGGCTTTTTTTTTTTTTTTTTTAATATGTAAAAAACTCAGGGAAAAAAAAAACCTTTTTACATGAACAGAGAAGGAGTAGACGAAAAGATAAAGACATCACAAGGATTTTCCCATTACTATATGCTGCACAGTATAGAAATATTCAAACAACTACCCTGCCCCACCTCCCCAGATCTCTCAAAAATTTCTCAGTGCTTTAGATTAAATGATGACCAACTGAATTGATTTTGTCGTCTTGGCAACACCAAATCCAGTGTCAGATCTCTTTGTTCTTTTTCTGAATCCACTAGCTGATAACCAAGAATATTTATAGCACCTTTGCAGACTTCCTGTATTTTCTTAACTTTCTGAAAGGAAAGAACATTTCTCCAGGCTTGTGAAACACTAACCGCATCTCGGGATGTTATTTTGAAGGCTTCTTTTTTTTTCCCTGGTCCCTGTCCATGTGTGATATTATAGATCCAGCTTTTGAGCCTGGGAGTTAAACTAAGATCCGCAAATTTATACATTTCTGAGATTTCTGATAATGGATCTCTTACCAGATCTTCAAAACGGACCATTAAATAGCGATCTTTCAGGAAATTAGGTGGTTTTAGAGTAGCTGTTTCATAAATCTGAACATGACTTCTACAAACCTCTTGCATTACTTTGTATTTGCTATCTTCCACTTTAGTGCCATTGGTACTCAAGACAATTCCATTGTCACGGGCTAATGCTTTCACTGATTGTTCCCGTGACTTAACGACTGCCCTGGGGTCACGGACCAGGTGAATAATTTTGAGATTCAGGGATGGATCAGTGAGGAGGGGATATAGGACCTTCAAGTCAAAGAATCGAACTTCCTTGATGACAACATGGCTGTAAGTTTTACAGGCTTCCTCCACCTTGCTGAATGGATACCGTCCACAAAGAGTCTTGCATGCCAATTCACTGGTTATGTCAGTACGTTGAAAAGAGTCACAAGCAGGAGCTGAACACAGAGCCCGACTTGCTGCCCACTGGAAAAGATCAGATAAGTTTCTTTTCCAAGGCATGTAAGCATCAAACACAGACATGTCACACAGAAAGACCGACCTGACTAAGTCCCGCACTGCCATGTGTAAGACTTTGGCACTGTTCTGGTACATTGTAACCCACACGTGCCACGCAGGTTCCATCAGGTAGAAGACACTGGGGTGCTGGCTGAAAAGCTGACCGACAAAAGAAGATCCTGACCGCCAAGACGAGAGAATAAGTATGTGGACTTGGGATGGTTTCTCCTCAGACTGAGGCATGAAGCTACTGTACCGGGCATACATGAAGAGTAAGAATCCAGTCTGTACTGTAACAAAAATTATAACAGCTGTGCTAGGAATCCGAATCCTTGCCATTCTCACCGAGGAAGAGCAACGAAAAAAGCTGAAAAAGGGAAGGGAAATACTTGTGAACCATTGTTCCTGTGGCACAATAACAATACAACTTAGACAATACAAGCTCTTGCATTAGTAAAACCTTTCTTCAAATGCGCATGTACGTATGTGGCATTAACTGCTTCCTTAATCAGTTGCACTTGGGGATGATCACTGCAGGTGACAGCTGTTGGGAAAAAAAAAGGAAGTAACGTGTGACAGTAAGATCACTGCAGAAATAAGCAAATAAGTAAATGTTCAATGTTGAAGAAAACCTTGGGTTGATGCAGCTCAACCCTTGGATTAAAAAAAGCCAAAACAAAACTACAAAATACACAAGGCCCTCAACTTGAACACTGGTAAACATTGCCCTAAAAAAAAGAAGGAAAAAAAAATTTCTGACTCGCTCAACTGTATTTCTGTTTTAATTTAACATTACAAAGATTTCTGTTCCCTAAAAGGAGTGGAACATTGGTAGCTGTGGGTGCTGAAATAAAAATCATCTTATCTAATGTGAGTGCTGTACCCTACAGTGGCCATAAGGTGCTGTACCAACTGGTGCTTGTCCACAACCCTCTATTTTCAAAACCGCAGAAGATGGATGAAAACTCAAATCCTGAAGCCACACCTGGCCACAGATGATAAAATGAAAATGCTGCTGACGTATCTTTGGTCTGGAGTGCATACAGCCCAAGACTGAATACCCTGAGTTTGCAGTCAAGAATTACCAGTTTGGGAGTTAGACTTGTCTGTGTATAACTCCTAGAAAATCTTAGGCATGTCAACCCCAAGTGGATTTCTGCTTTACTTTGCAGTCGAAGTTCAAGACACATGCACTCCCCACCACAGCTTTTTACTAGAGGTTTTGGCACCTACCCTTTTGTGCTCTCACTCATGCAGATTCCACTTGCAAGCAGGTAGTAAATGTTAGCAGGCAAGGTTTTAGGAAAGTAAGGCTCCTCATGTATGCAGATCACCTCAGAAGTTCTACATAGACGTATTTGTTATCTAGCTGCATTTACAATTTGCAATAACAATTTTTTTCTTGGTACAGTGAAAGATACACTTTTCAACACACTCTGAACTCTTGAAAGAAAATCATGCAGACTAGTAAACATAGATACATATTCATTTGACATAATAAATTGAATTGAATTAAATGATCACCCATTTCAAAACCTTTATGTACACTGCATATTAAAAATGTGCAACTCTGCTTCAAAATTCTGTAGCAAAAAAAAGTATACAGGAGTTCAACAAATAATTACATTGATTTAAAGTAAGTAATAGAAGAAAAGCCTTCCAAGAACTGTTAAATGCAAAAATGAGGCTACAGCCCATGGCTTGGCAATTCCCTAAACCGTGGATAGCCCATGGTATACGCCTGTATTGTGATGACACATACGAGAAACAAGGCTTAATGTATTAATTCTTCCTTAGCAGTCCACTACCTGCTACTCTCAGGCACAAGAGCAGATAGATAAATCCTTAGTTTAATTCAGCTTGGCCACTCTTCATAGATAAAATCTGCCCTGTTCAAATACTGAATTTTTGTATATTACATCTCCAGAAGCATCTATAAGTTTCTCTGTGCTGTGAGGATCACCAGCAATCCAGCAGCCTGCATTGACACTTCACCAAACAGAGGGGATGAAAGAACCTAAGCTGAAGTCAAAGTACAGTTGCATTTGCTAATTAAAAGATTTTTCTTGCAACAGGCTCTTCGCCTGAAAGTCAGCCAGACACAGCTATCTCCGATCTTTTTCTTGAGTGCAAAACATGAATCATTATCTACACTAGGATTGCATTCTGCAGCTTCTTATTATGTAGCTTTCAGAGACTCAGTTACGCTTTTTGAAGAATTAATGTGTTTCTACTCTAGCTACACAACTGTTGCTCCACTCTAATCCTGCTGCAGAGCTGCAACACTAACTGCTCTTTACATGTTATTAGCAGAGTGTGGGAGACTGAGGAATAAAAGCCAAAAGCTGTTTTTTACATTCACTTTTGCCTTGACTCTCTCAGACCTCTCCTTGCTCCAGTTCCCACGCAAGTAGTGTTGCAGACAACACTGTGCCAATGAAAAAACAGATAACGTGAGTATTAGTCCACAATATGTGTCTGAACTAATCAGACTCAAGCGCTACAAATAACATCAAATGACTATATAGCTGAAGTATTTCCCTACACTTCAATATGATAGAAACTGCAAAAAAAAAAAAAAAAAAGTGTGATACCAAAGTAAAACAATAAGTGGATACCAGTTTTCTACATTTAAGATTAATTTTCTACCCTTTTGGAAAAGTTGGAGTGTTTCTAAGGAATATACACACATGTAGACACCATCAAAGAAAAAGCATAATTACACAACAAAATACAGCATCTCTAAAAGTATTCTCTTGTGTGGCTTCCAGTGCATAAAGCCAAATACACCACTTTCTCTATAAACAGTGCCCTTTATTTCTGCACATGTTTTGCTGGCCATGTGTAATTCTATTTTCATGTAAACAACCATTTACCATTTGCAATTGCATTCTGCAGTTAAGGTGATTTTCCTTTAAAATTCCTTTAAAATACAAATTTTTTAACCCAACAAGCTCTTCTGTGATTTTTGATGAACTTTAGCTGAGGCAGAAAGCAGCTGTTGACAAGCCCATAGAATAACATTCTCATAGAGTTGCTGAAGATCTATATATGTACACACATATTTATAAATCTACTGAATAGATTACATTATATCATTGCCTTAGTTGCAGACTTGGCATTGTTGGATTAACAGTTGGACTTCATGATCTTAAAGGTCTTTTTCACCCTAAATGTTTCTACAATGCTAAATGTGGGGAACAGGACCTTGCAATACAGGCTACTTCTGATCCTCTAGCTATTCCACTGCAGTACTCACCAGGTGGTGCTGTTAAGCAAGCTTGCTCTTTCAGCACAGAAAGGCAATATGCCGAAACTGCACACTGAAGCTTCAAGCTGAAACACTAGTCTGTGACTTGCTTTGCATTGCCTCTTTCTTCTAGTGCCCTCCTCCTCCACCAACAGCTCAGTGGCACCACCTGCTCACCCCAAGCTCCTCTCCGGAAAGCAAAGATGGGGTTTGTTACACCTCCTTTTATCCTGCTTTGTTCCACATAAGTGCTTCCTCGTAGTGCACCTGCCTGACTGTACCATGCCTACCAACTGCAAACACGGCGGGGGGAAAGGAGAACCAGCAGAGGAGCCAGATGTTCTAGTATTACTGCCACTTCAGCTGCCATCTGAGTGACAAAATCAGACTGACCCCAAGTGGCAAGAGAGCTACAACAAACAAGCAGAAAAACAGGCTGTAACGAGCCTCAAATTCCAGCAGACAGCACTCCCACACCTCTCATATCTCTCAGCTGAGACTCATGAAGTATGGCAACACTCAGTGGCATCACAATACGTGTTTCTGCAAATAATGAATACTCCTTAATATAAGTTATTTTACTAACAGTTACACTCTTATTCCTTTTCTGTGAAGTAGTACTTCTTTGGTGATTACCATTTCTTCAAGGAGAGCTCTGGTAAAGAGAATAATCAGAAGCCTCAAATTCTTGAGGCACAATCATGTCTTTACAGGGCAATGCAAATTTTCAAAATGTGATCTGAAAAGCATTAGCTTATATGGTTTAGTTGTCAGTCCTGAATCAAGCTCTGTTCCTGGGCTTCCCTGCTAACAGCTACTGATGGAAACAAGATCCTAGACTAGATGAACCCTGGGACAGTTCCACAATAACTATTCTTACATATTGTCCAAAGGAAATTAATTATAGAATCTGGCCAACAGAGCAATCATTTTCTTCATGACTTAAACTGTCTCTGATAGACTGCTGAGCTGCAGGCCATTAGTATCTGCTTGCCAAGAAATTAGATACATTACAGAAAGCTATCCAGTTTTACCAAGAAGGGTAAAAATATAGTCAGTGGTAGTATTGATCCCAAAAAGATCTCATTTCTAAGATGAGCACTTTTCTGACCCAGAAAGGCAGAAAAGAAAGAAAGAAATTGTCCACTGGATGATCATTTAGCTCTTGCTTCTAGGGACTTTTACTTATTTGTCACATAAGACATATAATGTTGGAATCGAGTAATCAGATCTTTTCAGGTCAGCTCGAAAGGAGTACAGTTTCTTGGTAACTTCCTTTTAGCACAGAATTCAACCTGAAGAGACTTAATCAAGTAGCAAAAGTAACTTTACAGCTAAAAAAGACCCTCCTATTAAACTGCTATTTTTTTTCTGGGATACTAAAAAGACTGTAGAAAGACAGCTCATATTAGAGCTGTGAAGAAACATGCTCTGTCTGAGCTTTGGACAAAAGGTTGGGATGAAACACTCCCTTAGAACAAACAAGTGTGGGTCTATTGTGGGAAGACTGAAAAACCAGGCTGGATTAAAGCAAAGACATTTGAGTGAAGAATTACAAATACCTGCTCCCCTACAATGACTTCTGAGCAACTGAATCTTAGCTGTCTTTGTCAAAATATTCCCTAACCATTTTCTGTCTGAGAAAATTTCCAGCATACTTTCATTTTAAACAGTCTGTGCAGCATTTTTAAAGTCAAAGAACTTACAGATTAAACACAAATTATTTCAAATAACATACTCAGTTGTGGGTCCATTCCAGCTCAGAATATTCCGTGATTCTGTTGATTTCCCAGATTGATTTCTTCCACTGAAAAATGAATACCTAATGCTGGATTATGTGCACAACTTTTTGTTAGCCAAAAATGATTGTCCTGTACACTGACCTTTCAGAGCAATCATACGAGATGAATGTAATTACCTCTTATGTACTTAAAATTCACCAAATGCAGCAGTGCTGACTGTAAAAAGAATGATAACAGTAAATGTCATCATGCACTTTATAGAATTAATAGGAAAACATTTGTTCACGGCATGATAAATAGAGCAAAGATCACCTGAAGGTCTACTTTTCATCATCAAATTTACTCACTACATTCTTCACCTATAAAACATTGCACCAATGCAATCACCACCAAAATGGCTTCTGTGAGCTAACATTAGAAACACAGTTTGCTACTCAAAAAAGTAAAATGCTGGAACATGACAAAGCTGGTCAAAGAATAACACACAACAATATTACTAGTAATTCTTGCAGTAAATCACCACACTGACAAAACATCACTTTCCAGTGTTCTTCTGTAGCCAGAAATCACACATCTTCATAAGGCAAAAGCTTACTGTACCAACAATATGCAGATTGGTATTTGAATGGGTAAAGAAAAAGTTCATTTGGAGGGTGTGTTCAAGGATCACTGGTAGTCCTAAAAGTTAAAAGATTTTCCAATGCTAAATAGGTGAAACTCATAAACCTGCCTATTTTTTTAATAGATTAGTAAAACTGCAACTAAAATAATAAAATACAGCAAATGTACTGTAATTCTGAATTATAACATTATCTTAGCGTTTCAGGTGATACTACTAATTCAGCTTTTGGAAATATACTTCTTTTGAGAATCTAGTGGTAAATGAGATTTGAAGAATTGTTTCCAGGAAATCATCACACTTAAAGACTTCATAATACAGTGAAACATACCATCTATTTAACTATATGATCATTAAAGTTCTTTTTCTAAAAGGTACTGTTTCCTTTGGGAGATTTTAAAATATTTTTTAGATAAAGTTGCCCAGCCTAAGCAAATGGCAGTGTCAAAGCATAGCCCTATAATGCCTATTTCTCTATGCACTGCAGTCGAAGATCACAAAAGTGTTTTCAGCTACTAGAATTACTGGTGTTCAAGAAATGAGGTCTGCTTAGATGCAGCTTAAGAATTTTTACGATGGCAAAACCGGCGTGACAAAGAGACACCCGCAGTGACCGAATGCTATTCACTTACTTGAGACTGTCTGCACTGGTACAATAGCGTCCTCAAATTCAAACAGTCCGACGACGACTGGGCTGAGGTGTGCCCTGTGTGCCTCACTTGAAGTAACTGTTGCAGCTAAGAAATACTGACAAATTCTTCCGATCAGCATGTCACCTTCACCTAGAAAGAGGCAGGACACAACAGAAAAATGGGAAGGCATTTCCTGAAATGATGGGAAGGGTTCTCTAAACTCTCTCATCTAACTCCAAGAAACGAAACCACCTTAACTTGAATCAGCCAGTTCCCTAGGAAAAAGGAAGAAAGAAGGGGAAAAAAAACCAAAAAACCCAAAAAACAACAACAACAACAACAAACACACAAAAACCAAACAACACAAACCCCCCAGAAAAAAAAAAAAAAAAAAAAAAAAAAAAAAAAAAAAAGGTAAAAAAGGGGGGGGGGGGGGGAGGGGGGGGGGCAGAGGAAAGCAGAGAGAGAGGAAAAAAAACCCCAAACAAACAAAAAAAAAACCCACCTAAAATAACCAGGCTGATTTTCGACAGCTTTACCTCTGTCGGTGCGACATCGGCTCCGCCGCAACAGGTATTACCGCTAGTCCGCCGCCACAAGCAGGGCGTGTGTAACCCGCTCAAAAACATCTCCTTTAAAGAACCCTTGTTTGAGACGGTTCTCAAAAAAAAAAAAAAGGTCTGACCGGGACTTCCAACCCTGTGGAATAACCACATCCCCAACCGCATCAGCCCACCCGTACCTTGTCGCCGCCTCCCGCCACCGCCGCGGCCCCGACGTGCCGACAATGAACCGCTTTCAGACGTGGCCGAGGCGGCGGAGCAGCAGGAGGAGCCCGGGGAGCCGATCGGCCCCGCCCCCGGAGCATCCCCGGGCGAAGGCACAGCCCGGCAGAGGCGGAGCGCCGGCCTGCCCCGCGCAGCACGAGGGGGGCCGGCCGGGCAGTGGCGCCTGCTCGCAGCCGGGCACGGGGGTCCCGCAAGCGCCAGCCCCGCAGGGTCCCGGCTGGCTCGCCGAAACCGGCTCGTGGCAACACCGCCTGGCCGCCGCAGCAGCCAGCGCCCCGCCACCTCTCCTCCGCGGGCTGCCGCGTGCCTCGCGCTTTCCCGTCGCAGCAGCCCCCTCTTTCCGCCCCCGCCTCCCTCCATCCCGGCCCAGCACCCCCAGGCGAACAGAGCTCGGCGCGGCCGCGTCCCGCTCGCCTCGTGCGAGTAGAACGAGAGGATAATGCCCCCTGCAAAACGGGCTGCTTGGTGAGTTAGAAAGCAGCGAGGTGGTTTCTTTTTCCCTAGTTTCACGTCTTAAAACACTCCCGAAGCATGGCTCTTACACGGCCATGTTCCCACATCAGTTTATGCATAGGACTTTCAACTTAAAGCTGCTTTCTTTTTCCTTCTTACAGAACCTTGATTAATCCTAGCGAGCCACCATGTTCTTTCTCAATGCAGAGCATTTAGATTGCTCTGTCATACGTATACAGAGATCTGTGTAGTAGCACTGTGGTGCATGGTAGTGGTTTTGACTTTGTGTTGCTTAGCAAGCTGAAGGAAGAGTCCTTGCAGATAGCTTTCTGAGAAAGGCTCTTCCTTCCTAAACCTCTTCTAATACTGGTTGCAGTGGATCCTCAGGTATATATTTTTCCCATGTAGTTCAGTTTGTTGCTTAAGCTATAAAATCTTGCTTTTTTTTCTATTGCTTGGTTACTTAGAAAAGTAGACTGTCTCTTCAAGCTCGAGAAAGGAGTCAGAACTATGAACCAAGAACTACAGTCAGTATAAAAAGTCATCCAGGAAGTGACCATAGCAGAGGTATCACAGGGTTTTTTTCCCTGCTGTGGTAACATCTGCCTTTACAGCTCCTTTTACCCTGCATTCAGTTATTAGTCCCAGTCATGAAACACCTCTTTGACAAGAAATGGAGGGATGGCTTCAGGTCATACTAAACAATTACATGCCACCTGCAAGTAAATAACTCTTTTGATTGCCTCCTTTTAATGTATATTAATTTATATAAAATTTAGTTCTTTGCTTACATTACTGTAGAGGATTTTTTCCAGTTTTCTCCATCTAAAGGAAAAGAGAACGTTAAGGTTATTTTTGTCTGTATTTCTGGAACTAGACCCGATCTCCGTTTCTTACTTCCCATGCATTCACTGAACTGTTGCTCTCAGCAGCATCACTTGTTCTAACTTAATATGAAAGGCTACAACAGGAGAGAAAAGTGAGAGAGGGATTAATGGAGTCTCCCAGTACTGTGGCTTTCGAGCATTAGTCTCTTCCACATTTCTGTCGCTAAACAGACTTCTGTTCAGCTTGGAGGAAGATTCTTATGCATTCCATTTTTGTGGGAGTAGAACATTCAAACCCTAAAATTGCAGTCCTGTAGTCTCTCCAGAGATTTCTACCCCTTGCTCATGTCCACTTTGATGCTTGTGCAGATACATACCAAGTTCAGTCAGGGAACTGACTTGTCTGGAAAAGTGATTATATATTTGGTAAAGATCATCTTCACCACAATTAACTCCCTGAATTAACTCATGCAGTCACACAAGCACCATTACTGCTGCAAGGGAGAGCATACCAAACGTACACCAGCTTGAGACATGGAGGAAACAAGCTCACAGTCCCCTTCTTTCATGCTGTGCAGTGGCTAGAAGCACAAAAAAGCAGTAGACAGTTGCTTTGACACCAGAGATGTTGATACAAAGCCAGTTATCAGTAGCCTACATAGAGACTTCAAAGATCCAAGAGCAAACTGGAGATTTCTGAAAAAGGTAGCTCTCCCAACTGCCAAGATGTTGAATTCTAGAGGATGATGGCCAAAAGGTGGCATATGCTCAGCTGCTCTTTCATATTTCTTAGGTGCACCGTGTCTTAATAGTTCAAGAGAACCAAAGACACTTGGGATTTTTTGCAGAATTCTAGCATCTAGAATTGTTTTAAATTCTGTCCTGCCATAACACTGCTTTGCTAGAATTCATTCTTTAACACAAAACTGAAAATATGATGGAAATTTTGTTGTCTTCTCTTGTAGGCTTGGCTAGCATAAAAAGTAAGCCCAGAAAAAGAAGATAAAATAATCTTCCCTATGACCACCACCATCAAGAATGAGGGACAGTCTTTCAATGTCTACCAGGTGATTATAATTTTTATCTGTTCTAAACTACTTAAGCTCTGAAGGTAATTATTCACTTGCTTTGAAACTCTGAGGCTTCCCTGGTAGAATTTTTTGCTAGTTTTCTTTCAATAGATACAAGGATTCTCTGTTTTACTATTCACAATTCACAATTAATGGTTGGGTGCTACAGTAATAATACCAGTAGTAAATGGTTGTGCAAATTTTGCACACACTATCACCCAAAACCTGATTTCTCACATCAACCTTGAATTTATTCATCATCCAATTTAATAATTAAATTGGTATGTATAGCCACAGTACAGAAGTGCATCTCTGACCTTAACTCATCCATGCAGTTTTTCACCTCATGGTGCAGATAAATGCATGTACACATAACTCTCGACAACTCTAAGACTGCAGTGCATTGATTTACAAGAAGTAAAAACAGTTAATGTTGTTACTTTTAGCATATTATTTTCAGTTTTCAAGGTGGTTTTTGATGAATGTTCCAGTTACAAAAAAATAACTAGGCTCTTTTTTACTGTCAAAAATATAAACTTTTCCAGCTCCAAGGCAGTGTTCCTAAAGAAATTAGATGAATGAACATGTATTTTAAAAAGGATGCACAAACAGAGCATACTTGGAACATACATACTTGGAACATACCTACAAAATTTTGATCTTCTGAAGTAAGAAGTGTATAGAGAAGAAAATCAGGTAACTATTTTTGAATGCCATTTCTATAAATTCTTCTCAGGCATCTCTTCAGGACTGGTGCTGTTTGTAGGACAGTACTGGAGATACAGGCAGAACTGGTGATACTGGAATTGTAGTCAACACCTGATTCTGGAACAAAAACGTCTTAATCCTCCCGAACACCCAAAGAAAGATAAGGAGGATGCTGACATACTGGATCCAGGCAAATTTAATAATTTCCCAGAATCCTGGCTGATACGTAAAGAAAGTCAAGGAGCGTTAATAGAGAACCTTCTAATGCTGCCATTGCAATATCTAAACAAGGAAACTCCTAGGCACAAACCTTGTTAAGGCATTGGTTTGTGTCACAAATGCTAAGCCTCTGAACCATAGAAACACCTAAAAGCCTTCTACCACGGTAGGTAACAAAAGCTGGAGAGAACGTCTGTCCTAGAAGACATTTAAACCAATTCTGGGTAAAGTACCTACTTTGTGCCTGAGTCATCAGGAAGTACTTATTGTTAATATTCAGGCAGGTAAACAAATCTTGTAAGAAGTGTGCTCCATACAGATTCTTCTAAATACAGACTTGTTCTTGTCTACAAAAAAGAACGAAGAATATAATGAATGAAGAATTACTTTTTGAAAAGAAAAAAATTCTGGTCTGTCTGCACATGAACAGATGTAACAACCTTCCACTGTGGGAGTTATTATTTGGTGAGATGATGTTGCATACAGATTTCTAATCATTTGCTTTAGGTCACAGACTACAGTGTCATGCTTTGTGAGTGGCATCTGTGACAGATCGGGACAGCAGGTACTGCAGAACTCAAAGCAAGATGTACTACAAATATTCCCTGACAATAGCTAACAAACTGCTGTAAAGGCCTTTTTAGCAAAGCTGAAAAGCAACACAGGTTACCAATGGGTAAGAAAGGCAAAAAGTGGTTATAAAGGCACAACCATCTGAAGGAATGGACAAATAGGTATTTCATCAACTCCAGAACTGTAGCACTTGCTTAGCTAACGAAAAAAAAAAAAGGGAAAAAAAAAAAGTTTAGCAACATTGTGGTTGAGGCTCAAATATCATAACCCTGTTACGTCACAGTTTGTGCAGTTTTTGAAGGATATAAGATAACTTCCACTGGATAATGAATGGTGGCATTAATGATAAATGGTGTATCTGTTGCTCTTCCAGTCATCCAAACAGGGCTGGGATCTGAAAAGACTGTTGTCACTATAACGGAGAAAGGAAAAGTCCAGGTTAAGGAGCTTTTAGGTATTAATACAGAAGTCATATACTTCACAAAACAGCTGCCAATATGCTAACTCCTACTGTCCTGTAGCTACACATTCAGGCTTACCATTTCTATCCCAATATGCTGCAATGATGTTTGTTAGATCATAGTCACTTGCAAAAGGACTTGTGCCATTGACCACAGACACCTGTTACAACAAGGAGACACTTTAAGTATTTGTCCAGTCTTCAAGACAGTAATTTTACCGAGTTTCTTACACAAAGTAACCATGCCCTTC